TTGTGAAGAAAAAAATCCTATTCTTAATGTAGTTTGATTTCTATTAGAAGGTGGTGGGGTAGTTGAGTTTTGGGTAATGCTAAGACAGAAGGGTCGTAAGGCATGAGAACATTTAGAAGCAGAGAATGATCCAGAGAAACAAGAGAACAATCACTTGACCAATTGTGGGCTTCCTGTGGCTCTGGAATTGAAGCTCAAGAAAAACATATTCTTCACTAGAGAAATGTTGTGCTTATTCAACTCTGCTCCCTTTCTCTAATAATTTGAAAAATAAACATACTAGCTGGAGAGATGGCTCAGTGGTTAAGAGCATTGGCTACTTTCAGTAGACCCAAGTTCAGTTTCCAACACCCACATGACAGTTCATAATCATCTGTTACTTCAATTCCAGGAAATCTGATGTCCCCCTCTGGCTTCTGTGGGTACCAGGTACACAGATCGTCCACAGACATACATGCAGGCAAAACACCCATATACAAAATAAAATGAAAAAAAAAGTTTAAAATCCAGAGAAACCATAAGAAACTGCAGAACACTGGAAAGATTGAGACCTTAAAAGCATGAGGATGGAGGAATGACTCAGTAATTAAGACCACTTGCTGCTCATCCAGAGGATTAAGTTCAGTTCTCAGCACCCACATGGTGGCTTACAACCATTTGTATGGGATCCGGCACCTCTCTGGCTTCAGTAGGTACAAAACATGAATGTAGTGCACAGACATAGGCAAATACTCAGGTGTCTCACAACTGGGCCATGACTCCAGCTTCAACGGATCTGATGTCTTCTTCTGGAGTCCAAAGATACCTGCACTCATGTGTACATACACACCTCACACATGCATGCAAATTAAAAAATTAAAGTTAAAAAGATTTAAAAAGACACGCATAGTATATACTCACTCATATAAACATACAACATAGAATAAACCCACTAAAATCTGTACATCTAAACAAACTAAGCAAAAGAGAGGACCCTAACTAAAATGTTCAATCCCCATCCTGAAAGGCAAAGAGGATGGACATCAGAAGAAAAAGAAAATAGGAAACAACTTTGGAATCTACTACAGAGGGCCTCTGAAAGCCAGAAGAAAACAGGAAACAACCTTGAAACCTGCCACAGAGGGCCTCTGAAAGCCTCTGCAGTATAGACTGTCAAAACAGATGCTGAGCCTGATGGCCAACTGATGGGCAGAGTGAATGGAATTTTATGTAAGAAGTGGGAAATAGTAAGAGCTGGAGGGGACGGGAACTCCACAAGCAGAGCAACAGAACAAGATAATTTGAACACAGGGAACTTCCCAGAGACTCATATTCCAACCAAGGACTATTCATGGAGATAACCTAGAACCCCTGCACAGATGTAGCCCATGGCAGTTCAGTGTCCAAGTGGGTTACCTAGTAAAGGGAAGAGGGACTGCCTCTGACATAATCTGATTGGCCTGCTCTTTGATCACCTCCCCCTGAGGGGGGAGCAGCCTTACCAGGCCACAGTAGAGGACAATGCAGCCACTTTTGATGAGAACTGATAGACTAAGATCAGAAAGAAGAGGAGAACCTCCCCTATCAGTGGACTTGGGGAGTGGCATGCATGCAGAAAGGGGAGGGATGGCGGGATCGGGAGGGGAGGAGGAAGGGGCTTATGGGGGGATACAAAATGAATAAAGTGTAATTAATAAAAAATTAAAAAAAAGATTTAAAAATTAGTCACAAAAAGATGATTACCTTTTTAGGTATATATCAGTTGATACTAACTTAATAATTTAGTTTACACACATTTTAGGATATCAAGATTAGACTGAAAATGATTAAAAAGAAACAAACATCAGCTATCGATGGATTCAAGTAACTGATGGAGACTTGGGGATAGGAGATCCACAAGGAGAGTAACAGAAACAAGAAATCTGGGCCCAGGGGTCATTTCTGAGACTGATACTCCAACCCAAGACCATGCATGGAGATAACCTAGAACCCCTGCACAGATGTGGCCCATGGCAGCTCAGTTAGTTTCCAAGTGGGTTCCCTAGTAAAGGGAACAGGGACTGTCTCTGACATGAACTCAGTGGCTGGCTCTTTGATCACCTCCCCCTGAGGGGGGAACAGCCTTGCCAGGCCACAGAGGAAGATAATGCAGCCAGTCCTGATGAGACCCAATAGGCTAGAGTCAGATGGAAGGGGAGGCAGGCCTCCCCTATCAGTGGACTAGGGGAGGGGCATGGGAGGAAATGAAGGAGGGTGGGATTGGGAGGGGCCAAGAGAGGGGGCAAAGGCTGGGCTACAAAGTTAATAAACTAATATAAATAAATAAATACACAAATAAATAAAGAAATGAAGAGAATGGTGTGCTTTTTTTCTTAGGTGGAAGGTTTACGTGAGGATGGGCAGGAGCAGCAGTTGCTGTTATTACTTATTATTCAGAAGTATTAGAAGGGTGTGATGCATGGTGAAAGCAGTAGATAACATACACAAATGATGCAGATCAGCACTGACAACAGATAGATGCTAAGATTCTATGGGACACCTCTCATGATCTCTGATTGCCGATCTTGCTTTTACGTAATTCTCTTACCTTGAGCATGGGCAGAACTGGTTACTTGTTTTTAATCAAAAGCACATGACAAAGGCTAGTGGGATCATATACCACTATTGGGATTATGTCATATATAAGCTACCCTTCCTGGCAGACTCACTCTAGGGGCTGTCTTTTCTGATATGATGAGGTAGCCATGTTGGAGAATTTCATATGTCAAGACCTACAGATGCTAAAAGTAACTGCTAGGAATGGTGTGAAGCCTTTAGGAGCTGAGGGTGGCCACCTATGAGAGGCTTTGATTTCCGACCTGGATATGAAGGACACAGTAAACTTGGAAGTAGATTCTTCCCCAACTAAACCTTTACATGAGAACCAGTCTGGGTAATACCTTGGTCACAGCCTCATAGTCCTAACCAGAGGACCTAGCTAGGCTGAGCCCCCAGTAATGACATACTTAAAATAGTGAGATAATAAACATGCATTATGCAGCAAGAGAAGGGGAAAACACTCACACAATTCTAAATACCCATTCTAGGCTATTCAGGTGTTTCCTGTATTTTAGAAGGGAAAAGTACATTCCCCACATTCCTTTAAAATTATGATTCTGAGGAAACAAGCTAGGAACCTACCACAGAGGGCCTCTGAAAGCCTCTGCCCTACAGACTATCAAAGCAGACACTGAGACTTATAGCCAACTATTGGGCAGAGTACATGGAATCTTATGTAAGAAGTGGGAAATAGTAAGAGCTGGAGAGGACGGGAACCCCACAAGGAGAGCAACAGAACCAGAAAATTTGAACACAGCGGTCTTCCCAGAGACTCATACTCCAACCAAGTACCAGGCATAGAGATAACCTAGAACCCCTGCACAGATGTAGCCCATGGCAGTTCAGTGTCCAAGTGGGTTCCATAGTAATGGGAAGAGGGACTGCCTCTGACATAATCTGATTGGCCTGTTCTTTGAACACCTCCCCCTGAGGGGGGAGCAGCCTTACCAGGCCACAGAAGATGACAATGTAGCCCCTCCTGATGAGATCTGATAGACTAAGATCAGAAGGAAGGAGAGGAGGACCTCCCCTGTCAGTGGACTTGGGGAGGGGCATGCTTGAAGAAGGGGTGGGAGGGTGGGACCGGGAGGGGAGGAGGGAGGGGTCTGGGGGGGGGATACAAAGTGAATAAAGTGTAATTAATAAAATTATGATTCTGGACTTCGATGATTCCTGAGACTTGGCTGGGAGAGGCTGTGCTTCTGGCATGTCTGCTGCTAAAGATGACTGTGAAGATGCCTGGCCGCCCCGCTGCAATTTAGCCCTCACTGTGTGGGTGCTGAGGGGCAAGGAACATGGGATCATGGTTTTGGAGGTAGCAGGAGGAGTGATGTGTTTTCATTCTGACAGTTTCCTCATCACACAAGAATTAACAACTTTCCTGGTATCCTGGGAGTGGTATGGTCTTGGATCTTGTCTTTGAAAGTTCAACTAAATTGGTCTTTCTAATAATGATACAAGCCACTTAATATCCAGTAATAAACAGTTTCCTGCCTAAACTAATGGAGAATAAATTCTGTTTTTCTATAACTAGACCCTCAACTGATGCAGAAAGGACACCCTCAAGTGAGGTTTTAATTATGTGTTAGTGTAAGTGATATGCATAATAAAACATTTGACTTTTTAACAAATATTTTCATATTTAATACAATAGATTTTTAATATTTAGTTTTATAAAGACAAAGTCATCTTATAACATTAAATGTAAAAGGCATAGTGCACTGGTCCAGGTTGACACAACAAAATATTTTGAATATTAGAAATAACTCATTTGCTTAACAAGGCAGCAGCTATAAAACTATGAGTTTAACTTATTTCTTCTTCAGACTCAGAATATACATTGTTGTGTTGGTAACCTTCATTTATAATCTTATTGAAACTCAAAAATCTCTTTAAGTATTTATTTTTAATTAATCTAGGCTAAAACGCAATATTCAGTAATCTTCACAATTTTAACTTTAAAATAATATCAAAAATTAACAACATAGTGTCTTAAGAAAGTATTTGTTGTAAATATAACTGACAAAATATTAAACAAAGTGTGTATAACAGTGCCTTTGTATATAAGCACAGACCATATGCTTTTCCAGAGCTTCTGTTGTATAATTTAACAATCATTGCATAATAGCAGATGTGTGACAGTTCTCTTATAAACTATTAACTAAAGATGAAAATTGGGACATCATTTAGCAAATCATTCTTTAGTTGAAGGAGAAAGGTTTAGTTCTAAATTATCTCCTTTAAGTAGTCATTTCCTTAAAATGACAGCATAATCAAATCTTAAAGACACTACCAGCATTTGGCCAAATCCAATTTTGGAATTTTCTTTTTTCTTCTTTCTTTCTTTTTCTTTCTTTCTTTCTTTCTTTCTTTCTTTCTTTCTTTCTTTCTTT